GGTGGCTCTTTGTCAAACACTTCAGTAACCTCAAATCAGAACATCTTTCTCAACTTTGAAGCCAGTTATTTCTGCTGTTTGTTTTGTTGGCATTATGTTCTGCTAATTCCATGATTCAATTTGAATCATGATTTTTGAAGGGTTAAGATTTGGTTAAGGGTTAGAAGCAATTTATAATGATCAAGATATAAGTCAGATAAGCAAATGGTAAGTTAATGATTATTAGATGCTTAAGCCAGAGTTAATTGTTATATTGTTTGTTATTATGAGCTTGTTTATAAAAGAAAGTGGAGTAAGTGACCCGTTATAAGAAGAGATTGAAACCAGTGAGAGCAATGGCACCTAGACTCTATACCAACAAATCATCAAGCAGGGGGCCTTGGATCGTGCCAGAGGGTCACAAAGACCTGATGAAGACTTTCCTGACTTCATCTTTCAAGGATCACTGACCCAATTTGAGACCACTGACCTAAATCAGGAGAAGAATTGTGCATGCATGAAGGACTAATAGCCTCATTTTAATTCTGAATGGGGATAAGCGGTGCTCAGGTTATACATACGTATTGTATGTAAAATTTTAAGAATAAATAAAAGGACGAAAACCTTGTTCAAGGTGGTCCCACCTTTTGGGAATGACCCCATGCTACCCACTGGTGAATAAACACACTACTTTCTAACTTTAATTAGTTAAAAGGTCTTTGTCCATGGTCATATCGGTTTTTATTGATTCAAATTGGGTATGTAAGAGAGACTATAAACATGTTCAAATGAGATGACATTACTTCTGTCTTCTTTGTTAGCTTAAGTAGTCAAACAGGTTGCAAGGTATAAACATATGCAACAAAAAGCGATTTCATATTAATGGAAAGTTACTGGCACAAAGAGAATGTCACATCAATTTAGTGATTACGTCCCAGGTAACACAAATAGATTTTTGAGAGAGTACTTGCATCAATGCATAAAGAACATCTGCTTGAGATTAATATTTCTTTGGCCAGCTACCTCAGCTTCCCCAAAGATCTTTCCTTTACATGCGTAGTGTGGTTTTTTTTCCCACTAAATGTATTACATTTTCCAGTGTATCATTTAGCACCAGATGTCTGCATCCTTGCATTCACAGCAGGAAGTGAAACACATCTAACACTTACAAGGTCAGGCATTTCACATGCATTCTATGAACTCACCTGTAGTTCAAGAAGATAAAGAGAAGAGACACAGAAAATACATGAGCTAAGGGAAAATTACTGTCCTCTATCCTATCTGTGAAAGAAACTTCTCAAGGAAAATTCAAGGAAAATATTCTAAATTAATTAAAAAGAAGGGCCTACATTTAAAATATGAAAATATAAGACAAAAAGGATCTTTATGACCAAAAATACTCATAATCTTTAAGACTATGAGTATCTCTGAATACTGTGACTATCCAAAACACATCAACCATATAAAAAAATTAATAGGCACAAAAAAGTAATTAGAATATAGAGGATATACATTCCTTTCAAGTTTCAGGATATATGCCATTTTAGCTAAGATTGAGAAGGTTTGTTTAATGCCTATGGGCAAATGACTTTCTGTGAGAACTGACAGCTCTCCCTGCCCTCAGCTAGTTTACCCAAGACCAGTAGGGGACGCAACAAGGTCAGGCTCTGGAAGTCTGTGACCTCTTTATTTGTGCTACCATAGTTTTGCATTGTTTGATGGAAAAATTCCTATTCTGTAGTGGCTGGATTATTGCTGCACCCCAGATTGAGCTGGACCATGCGACAGTGCTCCTAAACAGCAGAATCAATTTATAAACTCATAGTGAAACAGTGAGTATAAATCTCTTCTTACAATATGGCAATTAAATTCCTTAAGAGCTACTAATTTTAGCATTACAGTCTCTGGATTGGTTTTTTTTTATTTTGACAATGAAATGAAAATCATACAGAGATATTTGCTCAGTGTTGTTTTTTCTAGGACTTACTCTGTGGTGGTTACCATGGAGCCATTTGTAACTGGTGAAGACTGAGAGTGCAAAGTGTCAAAAGTACTAAGACAAGCACATATAACACAGCAATAGCCAGGTGTCCTAAACTGAACTTAAATTTTGCTGTCTTTACTGGCATTTCAGGTCCCACACTGTACATTTTGTAACAGTCTTGTAAATATTTAATTGCTACTGCAAGTTTATTTACCAAGTTCTGGTGCTCAGATTGGTGGTGTGGCCTGACCCTGGCTGGATACCTTGGGAACACCAGGGCAGGAAAGAGCCCAAAATGTTGGGCAGAGAGAGGAGGACGGAGCACAGAGAAAGAGAAGAAGGAACCCCAATTTTGGAGGAGCAGACACGCCATGCTAGAGCATGCATGGGCACTGCAGCCCATAGAAGATCCGTGCTGGAGTAGGTGATGTTGCTGAAGGAACTATAGCCAGTGGAGTCCTTAAAATTGAGCAGGGTGGAATTGTGAAACGAAGGAGCAGCAGAGAGAAATGTCTATGCACCAACCACTCTCTGCCCCTACTTGTACTGCTTGATGGGAGGTAGAGGACTCCCTAGCAGAGGAGTGAAGGTAAATTTTGGGATAGGGAGGAGTAATGGTGTATCTTTAATGTTTGTTTTTGTTTCTTACTACACAAATCTAATTGGCAATAAATTAAATAAATTCTGCCCAAGTTCAGTCTGCATTTTCTATGAAACTAATTGGTCAGTAATCCCCCTGCTTTATCTGAGGCTATGAGCTTTCTCATCCTATTTTCCTACCCCATCCTTCTCAGTGAGGCAGAGTGAGTGAGCAGCTGGGTGAGTGTCTGGCCTGTAGCTAACTCACCACATTTCATCTGTCAGGGGCAGACAGACACAGAAAAATCTTGGGTTTTTTGGTGCATTTTTAGAAGAGAGAGATTTGGTGATTTTAAACTCTGTATTTGTGTGCAAGTGCATGTACACACAAGCAAATCCACATTTACTACATGCCTCCTACAAGAGAATCCAAAATGTACCCCTTTAGGAAAAAAAGTTTGAAAAAAACTCCAAACAAACCCAAACCAATTCAGCCTTATAAAGCTTAATTTCTGTAAACAGCGTCACTGTTGTGTGAAAACTCAGATACTGATATTAGTTTCTTTGGAATTTTAGACTTTTTCTTTTTAAAAGAAAACATTTACAGTGATAGGTCAGATAGTGCAATAAATATGCTACCAAAATATAACATAGGGTGTCACTGTGGTTAAAGCTGCAAAACAATACTTGGATTTTGACACAAAGGAAGAAAGCTTAGGGAGAGAACAAGGGAAAGGAAAACCTACTGCTTCTTTTGTTAGCTGCTTCTCATCTGTCACCTTAAGAACTACATCCATGCACAGGAAGCAAAGACAACACTGCATCAACTGCAGTCGTAAGTTTCTGAAGTCTTCTTAGCAGCATATTTTCTGTAGAGCAGCTGAACTCACAAAGACATGGACATAACTCCTCTTCAAGTTATTTAGATTAGAACATGACAACTGGAAAGTCATCAGAAATGCAATGATAGGTCTCCATTTCTATTTACAGTATTTACAGTACTTGTGTGAATGCAAAAAGGCATTGAAAATAGGTGTTAGATAATATTCAAGTGGCACAACTCTACAACTCTGACTTGGGATATTGCTTAGCCATCCCGTTAAATGCAGAAAAATGTATTTGAATTCCTCCTAAGTAGCACTATAAATAAAAGCCCCAGGAGAATGTATGTGCCAGCACTTCTGGATACTATTTCATTAGAATCTCTTGTTCCTACAGGAAAAGGTTGGCTTTTCTTTGAAAGATTTTGATTTTAAATTTGCTTATTCAAGAGTACTATTCTGACTTCATCATTTTACTCTCAATTTACTGTCAATAACAAATAACAATCAAGTATAACATCACATGAGAACAAATTTTTGCTGTTAATTAATAGCAATACCTTTAAGATCTCACTCAAACGATTAAAAATATTTAAGAATATTATTGCATTATATTTCAGATTAATTTCTGGGCAGTGGTAGCATCCCTAACTTATTGGAAATAGAACTGGAATGTACATTAACTAAATTTTCTTAAAAAACATGTCCTGGTCAATTACAAGCCTCACAAGAGAAGAGAGAGAAATTATAAAAACCTACTTCCTTAATTTCTTTCTTTAACTACCTTGTCATATTGTTTTACTGCATACTGAAGTAATTGTCTTTCCCATGTACTTTTTTTATAAATGATCTTTCAGTTGTCTCTGTGAGCTTATGCAAAGACAGAGGAAGAGAAGTGGGGATGCTATATTCAGATTGCATTCACTGTCTTACAAATCCTGAAACTCCTTATCCATATTATAGATGGAGTTCTATGTTGGATCTGCTTAAGAACTGAAAGGGGAACATGCTGAAAGGCTGAAAAGTTCACCCAAATATAGAATTAAATTATCAAATGTAGCATAACATTACATACACTAATAGGTATTATAATAACACCTGGGCCACTCAATGACAAAACTGGAAATTTACTAAAACATTTTTATATTTCAAACAAAACTGTTATGGTGAAATATTCTTTAAACTTAAACTTAAATATTCTTTATTCTTTAAAGTGGTCATATACAATAGTTAAACAAATACACAGTTCTGCAAATTAAAGCAGTCATGAGTCACCTCCTGTAAGCACAGTAGCAAAAAAATTTGAAAAGGCAGTCCATAATACAATACATAAAAAATAAACAAAAACAAAACATGAAACAATAATGAAAACCTCTCAGATGATCCAGCTTAATATGAGAAAGAGAATATTAGTGTCAATACAGACAAACACTGCTTTGGCATTTTCTGCTTTTCATATAAATCAGGATATTTTACAGAAAACCAACATGGACAAAACAATGTCCATAGAAGCCTGAGGATGCAAATCCTTTTTTCTTTAACTTGTCCTCTGCAAAGGCAGAGTGACTTGGTAAATTCAGAATATGTTATTTCAAAGAAACCATCAATTGATGGATTAGATTTCCCTGAATACCTACCAAAAGCTGTCCAGTGAAACAGATAAACAAAATGAAGGAAAGCAAGAGAAACGCAGCCCCAAATGAAATTCCAAGAATAGATGTTCTAGAAGAAAAGGAAAACAGGTATTAATTTCTTTGTTGCACATTTGTAACATGACGTTTCTTTGTCTGTAATACTGATGATATGAAAAATTACTATGTGCAAATTGCAATTTCCAAACATCAATACCATGGAAAACCAATTCCAACCCTCACTGGAATGACAGGCATTTCCCCTGCTATTTTCTCAGTTCAGGAATGCTTGAATAAAATTACCTCTGACTTGCAAAGTTATTACCATGAGGAGCTAATTATTTCCACACATACAAACACAGAGTACATTAACAGAAGCAATGTTTTGTTTTGTTTTAACTTTAGGAAGCTTGTATTAAAGAGGATCCTTATTGCTTTACTTCTTTGTTGTTGATTTTATAATAATATAAGAGCCTAACAGAAAATAAACTTGCTGGTGGTGTACATCCACCCCTAAAAGGCATAAAACTGCACAGGCCAGTGATGTCCATTTTCAGCGTCTTGCAGCAGAAGCTGTGATATCAGCTGTGATGCTGATCATCTTTACTTAATGTTACCATTCATCCTTTTCTTCCCTGTTATAAATAGGCAGGTCTAGCTAAAGTAGCATCCCTGGATACTCAGCAAACAGGGATTCAGTAACAATCTGTGCATTCCTTCATTCATTCATTCATTCATTCATTCATTCATTCATTCATTCATTCTTCAAATGTGGTAATCTCTCTATAGGAATACCACAGTAGAGAATAATTGCTTCTTCAGACACCATGTGAGAGCTTCTCAGAACATTTGCCTAGGGAAAGATGCAGTGGAACCGAATTATGTTTAATGAATGCCAAGAGAGGACCAGAAGCTCTGGATCAACTGAGTTGTTTAAGCATGGGAGCTAGATGCAGTCATGAAGTCCCTCACCGGAGTACCTGCTTTCAAGTTTAATCCCAGATCTGACACTTTTACAGAATTAAAAAAATATTTCTCAACTCCTTTGAGCCACATCTTATTTTATCAGACATTATATGCCAGAAATATTAAGAAACATTTTGATCTGTTTTAACAACAGTGTTATATAAAATATTTTCAGGAAAGAACAAAAAAGCATTAACATCACCAACCAATTTTATTCCATTAAAAGAATTTTGGAGAGTAATTGATGAGCTTCCCTGCCAGCCATTCAGAGAACTTGTTATATATTAAGTATTAATCATCGGATTTTGGACTGACGTGCACAGCTGATGAAAAACAACAACTGGTAATTAATAACATATATTAATAATGAAATAATATTTTAATTTATTAATAATGGTCATGTGAAGATCAATATTACTTATAAATACATGTTTTCCAAGATTTTCTCATTGAGACTGAGACAGTAAGCTGTACATCAAAGTATTACAACTAGTCACTACTCTTAGGAACTGAAAATCTCATAAGCAACAGAAGAGATGAAAGCAAAGAAAATAAACAACTAGGAAACTAAAACCAAAGCATGCTAGAAAAGAAACAGGTTTATTTTTTATATATGCATAAGCACTTCCAATCATATATGTCTTTCATTAACATCCAAGGAACCTTTCCTACATTTCATATTATAACTACACTTTTTCTGATATAAAGAACACAAAAAAGGGGCCTGCGCACCTTAAAAAATGACTCAAGAATAGCCTTATCAGTCAAGTTTGGAATGCATCCTTTTAGAAGAAGAAATGAAGATTTTTATGAGAGAAACTGGAGAGCAAGGGAAATAAAATTAACATGGCACAAAGAGAGTTTATGCAAAGAGTACTTAATCTCCTGGGCAACAGGCAAGAACAAAAGGTCTTTGTAGCTGTTTCATATAATCAATGATGTTATTGAGGGAGCACAAGAATTACACAGCAAGGTGAACAGGATAAAGAGAAATAGACTGAGAGTAATAAAATTGGTATCTTAGAATCCAGATTTGGGTGGTGAAAACAGAGAAAAAAACCCATAGTATTTTTTCTCCCCACACCCCATTCTTTCCTGGGAACAGCAGGACTTCTGTTTCGCTTAAGCTAAGACAAAATAGCTTCATGTTGCTCCTAGAAGGAAAGAAGTGGTCTGAAAAAGCTTGAAGGGAAGTAAAATGCTAAAAATTAATTGCCTCCATAAACAAGTCTCATCTGAGGCAATGACCATAGGAAAGCCATAATATCATTTAATCTTTGTCACTGATGTACTACAAAACCAGTACAGGTCTTGACAGTAAACTAACCTTGTTTTTTGTTGTAGAGTTATCAAATGCATTGCATTGACAGGTTCAGGCAAAATATTTAGTCAGAGCAGCACCTGAAACTTGCATAAGCTAGGTAAGTTTCTACCTGCCTTTTCTATGCTTCAAGGAATGACCTCATTCTGCTCTGCTACAGTCCCCCACCAGAAACCCAAACAGGACAACCCTTGACCATAATATACTGAAAGAGACAGCTTAAAACTGAAGAAACAATATGAGAACTCCTCAAACTTCAGGTAGTTCCATGTCTGAGTAATTTATGATCTTACATAAACTTGCATTTTTCTGGTTTCATTAAGAAATATCTGCTTTGAACAATTCATTTTTATCAGTGGTACCAGATTGGAAAAAAATTATATTTATGTATGTCTTGTTGGTAATATTTAACTGAAAAACTGAAATTTATTGATGAAGATAGATACTGAAAAATGCAGAAAATAATTTGGTTTTTTCTACAATTTTGTAACTTTTAGGAAAATATGTGACTTTTGGCACATGTCCTTTAATGCAGAGAATTTCCTTAGCGTGTAGATAATTGTTATCTGTGTTCTGAATGATATGACTGTAAATTCTCTTGAGGTGATAAAATCACAGTGAAGCCACTGCAACTGACAATTATACAAGACAATGCTGAATTCAGACTTTTTCTAGTATCTAATAGTAGCTATTTATTTCTTAAAGGAATTGATACTTTCACTAAGCCATCAAAAGATTCAATAGCTATGGAGACTGTTTCAATGTTAAAAAAATCAGTTCAGTTTTATAATTCCACTTGAATTATTTGTGTTTGTTTTAATACAGCAGAAAAATAGCTAGTAATGACGGTTTCCTCTCACTTAAACCATCTTATATCTTACATACCTGCTTTTAGACAAACTTTCTAAGTACTACCTTTCTTATGAAGAAATTCAGTTGTGCCTGATCAAAAATATTATGTGAAGGCCTCCTAACACTGACTGTTAGTTTGGCATGACTCAGGACAAAAGGACACAGTTTCTTGAACACAACAGCCTCAGAGAGTGAAGACTTGGGAAGAATCCTAAATGAAAGCCTAAATACAATCCCTTCCCTTGAATACTACAAGAAGTATCTCCTGTTCAACAGAAATATACTTTTATCGATTCACCAGTGTACATTTCAAAAAATCAGCACTACCAATTCCATGTTAGTACCAATTCTGTTTGCTTAAATAAAGAGTGTAGGGTTGCTGTGAATTAATAGAGACACTTTTCTCACTTGGTAAACCAAGAACTCTAGAAAGCCACTGCAGGCCTGTTCCAAGGAAATTTAATGATAAAGATTTGCTTTCATTTTAATGCCAGTGAAGACCTACTCATCATCATACATTTCATCCCAAGATATTGTTTTTTTGATTAAATTTATAATTACTGCTTTGTGTAAAGCTTAATATTAAAACACCACTTTACTGACCCCAAGAAAATGAAAACATTAATAAATTATTTCACCCTTGAAAAAAAATGTCTTGTGATCTTGAAGATATTACTTAGTACCTGCAACTTGCTGTATGTTATCCATTATCAAATATCTACTTTTAAGTGGCAGGCTATGAGCCTGCACAGAAATCAATGATATTACACTACTGCGAAACCAGATTAATGGAATAGTTAATCAATAAAACCCATTGACAGATTTAGTTCATCTTCCTGTCTTCATTAGACCATCATTTAAAAATCTTGGAGAACTTTTGAAAGAAAACAAAAAAAGGGTAGATAGAATTTTAGTAGGAAATAACATTTACAGCATCAGAGTATGTTCGATTTAAGTTGCATTTGTGATGATTACATACATTGGTGATTTTTCAACTTTTTTTGTTGTTGTTGTTTTTTAACTTGCAATGTTCCAAATTTTCCAGAAAATATGCAGGTGCTTGTATAATACCTTGCCTTTCTGTCTTCCATTTTTGCATCTATTAAAATAATACACAGACCATCTGATGCTGAATACCATTCATATTGGTAATACCTGATTTTACACTTTCACTTTTACAATTATCTATGCAGCCTGATAAAAGGATCATAAGACACTTAACATTTTGGTGATGAAAATGACAAAGCATTTATCAGTGTCTTTTGCTCTGATGTTAGAAATACCAGAAATACCTGCAAGTTGGAAGACATTTTCCTTAGTGGAATACAGCTCCCTAGAGTTCACTGATATTCTGATCTATTTAAATGAGCTAAACAATTGGTTTAAGCAACATGCTAAGGATAGAACAAAATGAATATCTGACTACATTTAAGATAGATGATAAATCTAGTTTAATTTTCATGACCGAAATCAAAACCAAAAAACAAATTCAAAAATCATACTGCTGGCTGGGAGTGGTTAAATCTACCTTTGGCTTTTGGGATGTGGCAAAACATGAATTTCCATTAATTAATTCCTTTACTTATCAAAATACAGTATGAGCTTGTAAAATCAAATTTGTCATGTGTCCTAATTTCATATTTTTAATAATGCCCAAAGTCACACTCAACCATGTGCAATATACTGATGAATTCTTGGAAGTGTGTCCCTTGCTTTTGTGCCTCCATTTTAGAAATTTTCTGGGAAACTGCTGCTGTAACATCTGAATAGAAGTCCATAAAACATTATACATGCTATACGTCTGCAATATGGAAAGTCAATTTATAATGTCCTAACAGTTCCTTCTAGCTTTGAATTAAAATGTGCGTAAATACTACAGAACAAGACCAGTGACTCAGGTGTGGTTATAAATAATAATCCTGAAAGTACTCTACAGGAGTAAGGACTACAAGTTAAGAATTACTATATGACAGGGAATATGAAGTGTTGGCTTTAAAAACAATTGCTATAAAACAAACACAAACTTTCCACTATATAAACAATCAAAACTTAATTGTTTAAACATCAAAAAAGCAAAATTTAATTTTAAGAAGTCCAATAAAACATCCTATATTGGACTTGTCTTCCAGTTTTCAGCCTTTCTAGAATAAGCACAAATATAAATAATCTCATAATCTATAAATTCTGATTAAAAGATTTATTGCAGAATTGGATTTTAATATTCTAAAATTAGTTTTATAAACATACACTTTATGGTTTTTAATGCTCTGTTTTCATGCTTAGTATAGTAGTAGTATCATAACGATAAGTTAAATACATTTATTTATCACATTTCCAACTCTGCAATCCATTTTGTCTCACTCCAATGTCCAACTGCCATGCTTATTTTTAAGTGCAAAGTGAAAAACTAAAAGGAATGAAGAATTTTTAATAATGTTTGGTGTAACACTGTTGACGGTGTTTAAAATTAGAAACAAACCTAACTTTTAAGATCAGGCTGAAATGCCAAGACTTTCCTGTTCAATTTAATTTCCATGAATTTGAAAATCTGTAATCTGTAATCTAACAATTCCAAATTTTTTTACTTTTTTTTTTCTTACACAAATGAGCAAATATACGTAGGATACATAGGAATACCCATTAAATATCACTTACTTTGGCAATACCAAAATCTGTACAACAAAAATGCAGAAGAATATGAGATAGGCACAAGTGACATAATACTTGAATGCAGGCAGAGTAGTTGATCGATACTAGAAGAAAATAAAAGCAAACGTTAACAACACAATTGCCAAAGCAGATGAAACAGCACCCAACTGTACTTCCAGCTTAAAGATGCACATATGTATAGGCAGTTTTTAGCAACAGTAAATTTCCTGTTCTTCAGTGACTTCATATCCACTCACATAGGCCTAGGGATTATTATTATATTATTATTGTTATAGTATTGCTTAAGTAGTTCTGCTTATTGAAGAACAGCCATGTCAAAAGGTTTTGCCTTGTTCTTCCACTGAACAGACTATTCCAAAACTCATAATAAAATTAACACAAAAATTCCCCCCTCCAAAAAAAAAAGAAAACCCACCAAAAAGAAAAAGCTAAAGCATATTTTAAAATACTTTTAGGAACGGCCAAGCAGTCTTCACAGATTCCAAAATTTTTTGTGATTAATTCCTCAAACTGGTTTTCAATTATTGAAAAATACTGAATGGGCTGAAACAGTTATAAAAAATGCAATATTAATTTAGACAGGAAACTTCTGAGCACAAAAGTTAGCAAAGTGTAAGCTGTACTACAGAGCATAACTAGCAACCATACTGGTATTTATTGAACCTATATTATTACTTCAATTAAAATATTTTATGTCTCTGTTAAAAGGCCTCATATGTCCTCTGTTACTACTAAACACTTGATATTCTTAGGAGAGAGTCAATTTGATCTGTTTTGTCATGAGAAAAATCGATTTAACTCTAATTAGACTGTCTAGAGACATGAGAATTAAGCAATGAAATATTTATCAGAGTTGCTCTGCTATTTGAGATAGATATATCTAGGTTGAAACCAATTAAGTACTCAAAGGGAAATGATCTAAGTAGCTATTAAAGTTACCTGCCCTATCCTAGTTTGTTGTTTGGTTTTTTTTTTCCAAAGGATAAAAGTTCAAGATTTAATTACTAAAAGAAAAATACCAAAGATTATTTTCACAAGGTAGTGGAGATGCAAACTTCAGAAAATGGAAAGTGCATGAGCTGTGCCTTCCAACTGCAAGCACACAGCTCTGTCTCTGTGCTTAATGCCAAGTTCTGCCTATGAAACCAGTGCACCAAACTTTACATGAATATATAGAAACTCACTTCAGCAACACAACAGCTTTTTTCACTTTTGAATTGTGTGACAAATTAAAAGCAATTCTTATCACTTATATAACTGAATTGCAAGGCATAAATATGTCTTTGCTGGATGGGTACCCTTGCAGTAAGTTCTGCTCTTCCACCTGTCAAATATGTTTGTAGTGGTCCTGTTCAACCACTGAACAGGACCTGCTATTAAAATTTTACAGAAAAAATTTTACAATGTACTTTTAAATTTGTTTCATTGTTTTACACTTCTCCAGGAATTTCCTAATGAATGCAGGCAACTCACTCCTTAGGTTAAACCATTATTTTCCTTTATTATCCTTCTGTACTTTCAGATGCCACAGGGCCAGAAAATCTGTTTAAATCAAAAGAAGACTTCTTACTAAGTTTTTTAAAGCCAAGACTGAACTCATGAGTCATTAAAAGGTGACAAAACAAGATATTAAAAAGCTGGATCCAAAAATAACAATTAGCTCTTTGCTAATTTGCTTGTTCCACAGCATTCTACATCACGATATTAGACTTCCACTGAGAACATTGACTCAGCCAAATAACTTAGCTCCCAAATTTTCTCCCAAGTCATTGTCCAAAGTACACATATGATGTATTTCCCCCAAGTTCTCTTTCAGAATTCATTGGTTAGTAACACTTCACATTAAAATATCATGTATTACCAGGTATGTCTTTTATCCAGCCAGTGAACCCCCAAACACTAAGGATGAGACCACACCAGGTCTTGCTTCTTCTCTCTTAGGAAGTTTTCAAAACAGGCTCAAGGAGCCTTGAAAGCTTTTCTACCCTAATGCATCACCAAGCAACACATGCTTTTGTCAGCTGGCCATAACAACTATTCTGCTGAGCCATGAAAAAATCTTAAAATCATTTTAGATCCTTTGAACTGAAAGATACCTACAAAAATAATCAGGTATGTATTCAACCACCACATGGGACATAGAGGATACTCGCTGGACAGTGCAAGCACAGCATGGTAGTACTTCCTCTAGCCCCTTCTCATCAAATTCACCAATTTATACAAGCCAGCTGTGGTCCAACTGACTTCTTACTTCCCCGAAGAACATCATAGCTATTCAGCCATCAGCCGCCTTATGCTCATGGAAAAGCAGAAAGAAGCAACTCCCCAGTCTTCCTGCTGAAGCTGTGTCAGTGTGTAGAAATTTACTCAAGTTCCACAGGGCCATAAAAAAATCAGAAAGGTCTGACTTATTGAACTTATTGAAAATAACTTACTTCTTTTTCCAGAGTCTTATTATAGAAAAGAAGAGATATCCTTTGAATGTCTTCAGATTTAAGCCACTGCCTAGAAGAGAGAAGGAACATTATCATTGACAGGAAGAAGTCCTGTCCTTTTCTATTACTGAAATGCAGTAAAATAAGAAAATAAGTTGGAATTAAGCAAGTTCATGTGTATTGCAGTGTATATGGTGGATTTCATGACAGTAAAAGTAGAGACTGAAAATACCCTCTCCTTTCTGGCTTCTATTGCGAAAGCACACAAATAAAAAACAGCTCAGATGAACAATTGTTTTTCTGTTGATCATGTCTAAGAAGAATCAACTGAGACATTTATATGATGGATTTCTAACCATGATATTTCACTCATGTCCAAAATACTGTAGTATATCCAGTGGACAGAAAAGGACCTGTGACAAAAACAGGCCTTGACAAGGTACCTTTAGGAAGGGCACTGTTAAAATATACAGGAATGGTGGGTAGGTAAGTTACACTTCACAAACTACTGTTGCAAACAAAAATGTAACAAATATTATTAAGAGAGGTGGAGGGATTTTGTCTTTGAAATGTTTTGGTCTCTTGACCACCTCCCTGTCCTGTAGAGGTAGATTTTGACCATTTTGCTGATTATAAAATCTTCCCTGCTTTAACATGAGAAATAGCATAAATACTTGCAATGAAGCAACAAATCTATTTTAAACTAAATGAATCTTGACAAAAACTAGACATAACTTTTACAAAATGAGATGTTCTAATATGAAAGTCTACATTTATTTTAATAGACACTCAAAAATACATAGACTATTTAAATCTCAAGAGGGTTTAGCTGCTTATACCTCAAGAGAACAATGCAAATTTGAAAACAAAAAGTTAATTAAACAGATTAGTTCTGTGGACAGGCAGTACTTGAGCTTGAACAATAGTAGCAGGGATTGAATTTTTTTTCCAACATCTCCAGCAATAGCTTTAAATTAGGCTCTAAACTAATAGTGTAGCTAATGCTTGCTAAATAAAAGGGAATGTCTCAACTGACAGTCTGTAATGCAAGTAAGTAGCAGCAGTGAACCACAGGAGAACATAGCCTAAATTAGTCCTGGAGAACAGGAGTGGATAGAGTGAAGTGCAAGCTATTAGCTTTAATTTGTGAAATGGAAAATATTTGTTTGCTTGCCTGGGGGACAGTCTCCATTCCTGTGCAACCACTTGCATTAAAAAAAGGGTCTGTAAACACATTCAGTTCTTGAAATGCTTGATGCAAAAACATATTTCCCTTTTTGCTCTGCAATGGTTCCCATCCATTTGTGATCATAGGATTCGGAGAAGAAAGGGAACTGGAAGGCTGGTGTATATATAGCACAAGTTTTTTTGGGTTCAGCTGTAATCTACTGGAAAAAACACTCAGTTTGTGGAATATTTTTGATAAACTGTAGAAATGAAAATGAAAGATTTTTTCCATTTAGTTACAAAAATTAAACAATAAGTAACCCTCTTCCCCAAATAAATAGTTAACTAATTTCCTGTTTTTTCTTATGGTATCTGACAAGCACACTGATTTAATTACCATCAGCACACTGCTAAAAAGTTCTCTCTGCAGATCTGCTCCCAAGGGCTCAATTTGGTTACACACTTGATCACATGTAAAGTCAGAAGTGATATTTAAAGCATGCGCTGCCTCATACTCCACAAGCTCGTGTTCTCAGAAACTTTTAGTTCTTAAAATTTCAGCAAAAAACCCTACTAGTTTTATGTAGCAGACACAGAGGTGTCTGAGATGAGGGAAATACACAAAAATGTAAGTGGATACTGAGAACAGAAGAGGGAGCACAAAGTCACATACCTTTGTCACAGACATAAGGGCTAACAAATTCTGCCTTCAGCCTGAATCCCTGATGAGTCTGAAAACTGCCAAAGTATTTGCAAGTACCTGGAGATGTCTCTTGCAAAACTAGGTACCAAAGTTTGGCTTTAATTCTTTTGCAATTCCAGGAACAACACAGACAGACATCTGAATTCTGCCTGTACCCACAGAGGTGTGTGGTTTCATAGGGCTTGTACTGCTTGACAATGTACAGCAAAGAATTATGCACAGAACATAGCAGCCACCAGAACTTAAAGGAAAAAAGAGCAAAGAGAGTGTGTGTCCCTTTAACACATCAAAGACTAATTGCCTTTACTTTATCCCCCTCTGTAGGGTCTATATTTAGCCAGCAGATGGCCATCCCTCCATCTCATGCCCCTTAGTGCTTAGGGAGTTCCCTAAGCACCAAGGCTTGGGAAGGCTTAGCTAGAGTTGCTCATCCCCAGACTGTGCAGGACAGGAACTTTGAGCCAGGAGTGCTTTGTTCAAGATACAGGGAAAAGAAACCCATGAAGAAAGTGTGATGTTACATGTTAATGGCTAAGGCACAGAAGCTCTTTGTTCTTTACTCTTGCAATAATGTTTTTTATTTTATTTTCATTCCGTCATAGCCCTATTTGCAATACAATTCAAATGTTACACTTAAAAACACTTAGAAAAGACAGTTTTCTCATGGACTTTCTTAGAAGTTTTTTCCTTGATTCACAAAACCTTTTGTTTAGTTTAAAAATCACTTGTTCACTCTACTGAACACAATATATTAATTAATGATAATATTGAGGCACAAAAATATTCACAATAATAAAGAAAACAAAAATGTGAGTGGTTTTGTGTCCTAAATGTAGGAAATATTTTATTTACCTTTTTTTCTGTGCTTAGCCTTCACAGAGTTAAAATATTATTGAATTACCTTGACATTTGAGGAATCAGCACTTTTTATAACTTATTTCTGAGTATTAAACAATTGAATCATAACTTTTAATAGATTCATTCAGCAAATCAATGCAGAGCTAGTAGAGAATCTAGTTTTGGAAGGTGATATTCAGACTTTCTGATATATAACTCCTTATCTTTCTGCAATTTCCCATGTAATTCACGAAACACAATGAAACTTTTTCAGAAACCTTTTTTATCCCCAAGTTTCTCTGAATTTTATGTACTAATTAGATAAGATAGGGATTGGCTAAGAAAAAACAACACACAGCAGGGTCACACCAATATTTTAATGTATTTATACAGATGCTTTACTTTTGACATCAGAACATCATTTTTGAAATTCTTTTATCAGAGCAAGTGAACCTAAAGACACAAAAAAGCTGCCAAAATTTATATAGCTGTTATAGGCAAGTCTAGTATAATCAAAAGGCTTTGCCTATCACATGATCTCCTCTATTTCACTGTGTTCTCTATTACCTGTAACTATCAACAATCTTCTAAAATTACTGAAAAACATTTTCTTAAATCCAAGTACCATTTAATAGGACTAAAAGATGAAAAAAACCCAAAATGTGACATACGAACATTTAATAATTTGGTGTAGTACCCAGCTGATTAAGATTCTGAGTAAGAGAAGTAGGTGGCGAAACGTAATTCATCACAATTATTGTTGACATTTTTGAATGGAAATTCCCTTATTTCATCAGAGAAATATAATAAGAAGCTTGAAAACTTATTTTGGACTGGAATTGATTTCTTTCTAGCCTTATCTATTCACCAGGAAACAGAAAACCTCATACTGCCTCCAGTTCTTCCTAGGACACAGAAAAAAATACATGGCAGGTTGTTTCGCCCAGCAATTACAACATGCCATCAAGATTAGCCTTTTCTAAGAAACCAACCTACTGATTGAGAGACACTAAACTATGGTTTTAGGTGAAGTTTCTAATCCTGAGAAATGGTTTCTGTGACAATTAGGAAGCATCAATTTTCACATAATTCTGACTCCTGAGCCAGTTATTTCTTGTGTCTTCTCTGCACTCAGGTAAGACAAATCTGTACTGTTACAGCCATGAGTCTACAGACAGATACAGAGAAAATGCCCTTTGCCAGAAAGATCAAGACAAGTCAATACCTCCACCACACCATGATTCACAGGCACTGTCTTATATAGCAGAAAATGCTACTTTACAGTCTATCTTCAATCTAGGACTTCCTATGCCATTATTAGTGGCACTTTCACTGTTTTCAGACTTCACACACAGGTACGCATGTAGGAGCAAAAAATATTAAACACCGCCCTCTGTTGCAGATTTATGACAAAGATGGAATGGACAAAGACAACAAAGGATAGAGGATAAAGCCATACTTTTGGGCATTGATTCCATCAATGGCTTGGATCATCCTCTCATTCAGTTCTTCCTCAAATCTTCTTTTCTGTGATTTTGTTCTGAAATGAAAAATGTGTGAAGTTACTTCAAAAACAACAGTTATCATAAACTTGTGAGTTTATCATAAATTTTTAACATTTATACTGCAATAGCAACTATAGGCATCAGGCACAAAGACCCTCATAATAAGCTCTTAAAAAACCATTAGCCATAAGACACAGTCTCATGCACAAATACACACATGCACAAATCCAGAGCTTAGCCATTACGGAGCACTTGAATACAAACACAAGAAATTATTTCATAAAAAAGCATGAGAGGTCAAGAAATTCTGGTCTAAGTCTTCCACAGTGTTGTCAATTAAAGAAGAATGGGAATATGCTCAAATTCACAAAGCATTCCTGTTTCTTGTAGTTTTTTTTGAAAACCTTGTCAGAAATGTATGATGATGACAATATATTAGTGAACTGAGGCATAAAAGGTATCCCCTACCAAAATCCTGCTAACTCTTCTTTTCTAGGAAATACTTTGTTATTTTTAATAAGAAAACTGAGTACTGTCTGAAATTAGTTTCAAGCATACCTCATGTTTCTCTGTTTGAGATGAGCCTTGTAACTTATTTGCAATGAAAACTTCTTTACTTTTGATAGGATTCAGCACGAACCAAACAGAGGATCATTACAATGGCTTTACATTTGCTAACATAAATTGCTGCAAACATCATACATTCTTTCATTATTTGTGCTTTCGTTGAAAATGACATATCTCAAATATTGACAGGTGATGTCTGTGTTTGAAAACTTGAATCTACTGCTAACTTAAAACCAATGTTTTCTAAGAAGTCATTAGTCAGATCTAAAATTTGACTCTTTCCTCACCAAAATATTCTTAACCTACAAATTGAACCCAGTAGAAGGTAACATGGATTTTTCTTAACATGAAGATTTTGGGTTATTTCCCTAAAACTGATAACCTGTTGCAGGTCAAATTAATACAGCAATTGTATTAGTGTACGTGCAGGAACTTTAAAAAATACAAGTGATTTCATGCCTATTCAATGCTAGTGAATTTAGGTAAGAAAGTGCTTGAAATTAATTTTTAACAGAAATCAATCACAGAAACATGGCCCTCAATATTTGAAATAATTTCAATGTATATTTATTTATATGGACTTTATATGAATAAGTAATTTTTTAAGATTGATTTACCTTTCTCTGCAATGCTGAAAATGATATTGCCCCATGGGAACATCCTAAAAACAACAAAATAAAACAACACAAAACAAAAAGACCCCTATTAATTACAATATACTTTAATAACATTAAGTTGCTTTTAAAATAGTGTTGAAAACAGGATTGAGTACAGAAAGAAGTTTCCAGTGTAAATACTTTTAGCATTTGATTAAAACTGTCTAAAAGAAAAATCCAGCTAGAAGTGAAGATGGAGTGACCTGTATCTATCAGTAGATATGTCATCTATCAGTATAAACACAGGATAAACTAATAAAACAGTATGAATCTAAGACGGTTTTGCTTTACCACAAAGACTTCAATGCCATATACTGTTTGGATGTAGCCCAAACTCTTGCCAGCTTCAGCAAAAACCAATCTTATATGTTTTTGAAAAAACAGACCTGAGTGGACAAATACAGACAATGGTCATTATTTTTTAATTAATAGCAATGGCAGCCATCATGGCCACATTTATTTTGTGATTAATAGTGATAGCTGGGTACTTCCTGTAATGAGTCTGTCATAATCCACATTCTGATGCACTATATTTATTAAACAAGAATATGTCTCATCAGTACAGGAACAAAACTGAATGCCAATGTTGAAAACTATCAGAATTTAACTTTACACATTCTCTTTTAAGAAATAGAAGATAATGAATGTACAAGCTATGGATTGATAGAATCTTACTAACAGCAGTGTAACAGCATTAGTAAAATTAAAAAGAAATCTCTTCAGTGTAAAAGATGCAACATTGAACTATAGTACTATAAAACTCAGGCCTTCAACCACAGCTAATGACTTGCAGGTGCACCTTCAAAAGGCAGATGACACAGTGAGTATGGATTTGGTTCCTGGGGTACTCTGAATAAAGTCCACTCTAAGTATCACAATGATTATTCTAACTTCACAGCCTTTGCTCCAGGTTTGGCCATGTTTCAAATGGAGAATGTAGCTAAACAGTCAATAAAGCTCTAGGAATTTCTCTGTATTAAAGGATTTCCGTCCCTAAAGCTGTTGCATTTTGGCTTTATGTTCAAAACATTTTTCCACAAGATGAAGAGCAGCCATTGTACATGCTATGACTTGGTGGGGTCTGAGCTCAGAGGATCAAATTTTGTACTTTAGTAAGTGTGCCAGAATCATTATAATTCAGAGATGCACTTAAAGGAAGACATGGCTTCTTAGAACCTAATCCAAAACTCACATTCCAATGGAAAAGCTTCCAGCAACTTCACTGGGTTTATGCCCTGTACCACTATATGTATCTTCTTCTACCAGAAATAACCAGGTATTTAGCAGTGAGCAACATTTTCCTTTCAAATATTTCTATATTGTACAAAATTACATAAGTAGGCCCCTACTGTTGTGCTTATCTTGCCGTTTTCAGTGGTCATGCTGTCCCTGTGGTGCAAGTGTGCAAATGGCTTGGCTGCTCCCCAAGATTCCAGGTACCGGGTCATGCGAACAGAAGCTCTCATTTTGGCTCCATCAAGAGTATGGCGAGGCCGAATGTGGTGCTGAGGGCTTCGCTTCTCTCCCTGGTTGACAGAGGACAAAAGGTGATATCAGTCTTTGTGTTCATGACCTTTCAAAACAGTAGTGTGTCATCTGGCACCACAGATCTCCATGATCCATGGGACTTAAAAATGGAGAGATGTTAAGAACCTGCAATTCTTAATGATATTGTTGGGAAATATCAGAGACTTATTTCTGAAGAGCGGGAAACATTCGCACTGCTAACATTAATATTTGTAGGCATCAGTAATAGCTCTGATCAATATCTTATTGTGGTGAATTATTCAATAATAAAAAAAATAAAGAGATTAGTGGTCCTGCTGAAGGACATGCATGACTGGCCACAAAATAAAAGTACTACTAACCTTAGGATTGATTACAAAGTAAGTCTTAACATTATGCTCTTTCAGATATGGATCCCTCACATCTCCGTCCCCATCTTCCACTTTGTAAGCTCCATTCAAATGTGCCAAGGTGACTGAGCTGATGTGAACACGGCTGAAATTATATTTTAAAAGAAGGACAAAGTCACAAATACCAATCAAAAGCATAATTTAAACCTGATCAACATTTTTTACTTGCTTCTGGATACACCTTTTATTTGCTGCTTACTTCTTTTGCAGTCCCTCTAATCTAAATTTTAGAAGTTCTAATGGGCATAAATCTAAAGGTTTCCATCCAGAAAAAATGTTCCTTAAATCACAGGAAATACTAAGTGCCCCAGGATTTTTTTTCTTTAGTTTGATTTTTTTTGTTTGTTTGTTTGTTTTGTTTTGTTTCATTTTTTCCTCAAGACAGCACCTAAGAGGTGTTCAGGCATCTTCATGAAGGCTGATGGTTTAAGACATGGTGCTTGTGCATATGGAGACATGACTGAAAAATCCATGTGTCCAAAGATTAACAGAGAAGACTCTTACCCTGGGACTCCCCCAGCTTCCATGTGATTGGCCAGGGTAACATCATGGGACCACACATCATACTGCCACTTCTGCAGCCCAATAACGCCACAAAGCACATTCCCGGAGTGCACTCCTACACGCATGTTAATATCAACTCCAGTAGCATCTCTCACTTTCCTGCAGTTGAGAATAAAGCCTCTGTTAATATACACAATAGGCCCTTTGTTTTCTTTTAATTTACCAGTCAAATGATGTGGATGGCACATCCCTGGGAGTGTTCAACGCCAGGTTGGATGGGGCTTAGTGCAACCTGCTCTAGTGGGAGGTATCCCTGCCCATGGCAGGGGAATTGGAACTAGACAGTCTTTAAGGCCCATTCCAATCCAAAACATTCTATCATTCTATGCTTCTATGAAAGCAGCAGTAACAATAGTAATAACATTTACCTGTTCCTAGCATTGCCTCCATTCTTTTAATGCTATGATTATATATTACCTTTCCTATTATCTGTATTTGCAACAATTCATATAAATATTAATTCTCAAGTCTGTATCTTAAGTTCCTTCTTTTATATTCATCTGAAATTATTTGGGACTGCTGCAATGAATAGTGGAAATGCTTAGTCTCATGGTAGAACTTAGAGACTGTTTTTGGTCTAGAGGCTGCTTTTGGAGGTCTGGAACTACTGTTACACACCCTTTTATCTAAAGACCCAAATGTTTACATCTGAGACCTTCTCATATCTGTCATATCTGAGAGGAAGGACAAAAACCACAGCACCTCATGATATTCCACATGCTGGGGCTTGTACACTCTTTGGGGATATGGGCTCAGTGCCATTCAGGCTGTGGAGAACATAGGGTCAACAACCTTCCATACGCTTAGTGAATTCTGCACCCACTAGAACATCACACAGCGAATGAAAGGCTACCCTCACTGTCCAGACCACATGTAAACCTTTGACCTTTCCAGTGACAGACTTAAGTATCTGTTCACCCCTTCCCCAATCTCAGAAGAGTCCTACACACAAGAGAGGCATTTATCTTTGCAGAAGTTCTGAATCACTGGTGGGTAACTCGGGTCAAACAAAAAGAACATTTGCAGACATAGGTCATATGGGTACCTAGCCATGTATGTAAAGAGTAATAAAACTAATTCAGGTATCTACAGGCTTAGACAGCTCTAAGAAATGGGAAGATCATAACTTAACTGGAATTATGAATTTAAACCCCAACTGATATGGATCCAAACCTAGTCAGTAAGGAGAAAAGTACATATACACTTGGAGAAATTTGGGGTGTTAATGGAAGAAACAACCAAATGTTGAGTGAAGAAACAACCCCAAATGGCTCCTGTATATGAGTTGGGTGCATAGTTCTAGCAACATCTTTGATCTCAGTGATGAGAATCATCAGCTCTGTACCTTCTGAATTATTGAATTAATGTGACAGTTTTCTCTTTTTTTCTTTTCTTTTGAAAGGGAACATAGAATGTAACAGGCCTAATTTGATGTGGTAAATCCTGCATTTAAGCAGTAACTCTCAAGTGGTTTTGGTTTTTTTTCTGGGAAATGAAAGAAACAGTAACATGACTGAAAGTATTTTAATTCTCTCTCAAGTGTTTTTTGGTATTTATTTTCACATTGCCACTTTATAATGCTCTTGTGTAGCTGACACACTTGAAAATGAACTGCCTGTAAATGATCTTTGTAAGCAGTTTGCAAATCACAAACATCAATTTGCTCTGCACAAAGTGTATGAAAAAAGCCTAGCACTTTGGAAAAAGGAGTTTTTAAAAACTGGGAAAAATGGAAGCAGAACATTTAAACTCTAGGAGTGATTGTCAGAAGACTGCCCTTCCTGCAGTATTCTGCAGAGCAAGCAGAATAAAGTCTGCTTTATAATAATCTCTCATGTATTATTCAGTAGAGCAAGCAGAATTGTACCAGAACTGAATCTCTTCTTCTGTCTCACAAATTAAAGAAACCATGGAAGACAATAATTTAGCAGTGTAAGTCTAGACAGAATTAGGGTTTACCACTTCTCTCCTGAACTCCTTGAACAATTGCTATGACAATGGAGGCATTAAATGCATTCAAGAATGTAGGCTATTACATCCCCAGAGGATGTTTGCATTACCTACAAAAGCATATCTGAAACCTCCCACCTTTATTTCATTTTCTGCTCCCCCTGTCTCTCTGATTTCCTTCAGCACATCACAGTCTGTGTGCCCAGCCTGGCTGAGCAGTCAAAATACTCATCATGACTGTATTTTTCTTATTGAAAGTAGAAATTTGAGTCTGTAAGCATTCTGCATTTTTCAGAGGCATGGCTAGCTTGCAGGTAATTGTAACAACTTTACTCCATTCAAGCAAGAGTTCAAGGTCATTAGGAAAGCATTTACATACCTGAGCTTTATTCATCTATCATTCTGGACCATACCTAAGATACCTAAGACTCACCTAGCCCTTTCTTACACACTAACACACTGAGTGAGCCTTAGGCATTTAATTCCCTGCAAATTTCCAGCTTTAACAGCATAATTTCCTTTTGAATCAGACCTGCAGGAATGCAATACCTAAAAGAATTCTTTTGTTTTCTGTCACCCTGAAAACTCAGCTTCTGAGCTTGCTAACATAGTTTTCTAAGGACTTTCCCAGGAGAGTAACTGTAAACATAGATATGTGTACATTCTTTGTGTTACACGTCTTGTGATGGGCATCTCTCATGGCCAGTGCAGTGAGAATGTGTTATCCTGACCATCCAATCCCTGGCCGTGGTCACAAGCCTATAAATCCTGGGAGGAAAAAAAACCTCTGCTCTTCCTTTCACCACACCTCGACCTGTGTCCGTGTGATCTATTCATCTTCAGTGGTAACACTTTTCTACCTAGCATTCAAAATGGTATAACCATCTTATATCCAACAGTTTATTTCACTTTCCTCTGAAATGGAATTAATTTCATGCTATCAAATCAAAGGAAGTCTTTGAGAATGTGTGACTGAGAAACAGGCAAGTAAGGAAGTCACCAGACAGACAAGGGGGTAGAGTTTGAGGAATGGAAACAACACATATATTCACACACACACGTATTTTACCTCAACAGATAAGTTCTGTCCTTAAATCACTCAGCATCACAGGCAGCATTGGCATTTATGGCTTGATAAATGCCATATAAATGGATAAATCCTGGGCAAGCAGGCTGCAGACTATAAGAAGCATTGGAATTGTTCCAACATAGCGCAGAGGAACAAAGAAATTAATCAATGGGACTACAATCCATGTCTAAATGGGAACAATCCATAGCATAGGAAATCTGAATTGTTCAAAATGGAGCTACACAACATTAGGTATGAGGACTGCAAAGACTTTGTAGTACAGATCACCTGGCAATTTGGCAGAATTCCTCCTTTTTTGCTTCAAAAAGGACTGGAACTGAAACCATATTCAGGTGGTAAAGTCTATATAGAACTACTAATACTACTACAGCAATCTATTTCAGTAGCTTACACACTGAGCGGACAGTTTGCACCTCTGTGACTGAATATAACAATGATTTCTATCCAACCAAAAAGCTATTTCAGATAGAGCAAGTCAAACATATTGAGTGACACACTGCCAATAGCAAGAGTATTACTAGTCATTTTACAGGGCACAGTAGTATATCCAGAGATGCTTCCAAACAAAGATGCAGCAATCACACAACAAAATATGGAGCTGGTTAATAATTTGCAATTTTCTCTCACCTGCAGGGTGCAACTCTTGACATCATACTTTGAAAGGATTTGAAAACACAGGGTACATATTCCTCACTGCTTCTATAAACAGGCCATGGTAATCAGGCATCTGTCTATGGGAGCATTGTGGTTTCTGACTACAGTAATAAAGTCAGATCAGAATATCCTTTACAACTAACATATAATTTTCTAGTCTAAAAGGCTGGTCTTACCAAGAACTTGATTGTACAGCATCAACAACGAACATACTTGATAGCAGCCTGAACAGAAAATTATTTCATAGAAAATGGGAAATTCTGAAGGGTGAGGAACTGACAGATTGCTCTCTGAGCTCGAGTACATCATTGCATTATGATGTGTGACATACTTCAGTTCTTTGCGAAGGGCTCTTTATGGCTCAAGCCTAGTGTTGTTTTTCCACCACCTTGTAACATCCTATACTCTTTTCTCTTAAGTAACAAAGCAACAGGTTGATCAGAAACCCTATACAAATACTTTTAACTCACATATCTCACACAGCACACAGATGTTTTGAGATGCAAACCAGAAAGCTCTCATTTTCACTCAAAGACTGGGGAAAAAATCCCAACATTTTTAAGCCAAGTAACAAAGGGGGCCAGAACTTTGAGACTGACACCCTTTTACCAACTGCTCTACAGAAGGGATGGTAGCTTTACTTCCTAGTATGCTAAAAAAGCAATTGGCTTAATTGTGACACTGTTCTAGTATATAATATCTAAGTGAAAAAGAGAAAGCATTCAGTGAAAGCAACTGAACTGCAACCAAATCTGTAGACTTTAATCCTACTTGGCAAGGAGAAATACTCCCAAGTACCATTTAAAAAATAGATTTCTTTGACACTATCTAAAGTACAACCATTTTTGGATGAAGAAACAACATTTTAGAGAATGCAACAACTTGATTCCTGTACTGAGATTAGTTTTACAAAAAGATTGCTAAGGCAAGGAGATCAAAATACTAGTTTCCAAAAGTACTACACCTTTCCCATAAACACATAAATGGGAAAAGAACCAAATTTTCTTTAGTCATCCCACCTGTAGATTACTTACCCTGGACTGGATTAGAAGACCAGATAACTAAAAGCCAAGACCCTTTTGTGACTACAATTACACACATATGAGGGTACCGTTTAAGTATTAGAGGAAAAATTTCGTATGGCTACTTTAATCATTAAGATCAACACAGTTCAACGTAATTATGTATGGTATCATGATGAGATGCATACCACACATCACAAGGATGGGACAATTTCTTACTTTGCTACATGGACAGTGGTTAATGTGATCTAGACAAAAACATAAATTGGAACTTAAACTTACAGAAGAGCATTACAAGTTTTAAACTCAAAGCCCAGCTTGTTAGAAAAAATAAATCACACAGCGGATTCCCAAATATCCAGACGGCCACATGATACACACTTTTACCAAGTGTAACTCACCTAGATATACTATAATTTTAGTGAAAGGAAATGGGTTTTAAAGTTTTTTTAAAAGTTTGGTACTTACTTAATGGCTTCACACATGTCCAGTCCCATCTTCACACAATTCTTGGCATGATTTTGAAGAGATATAGGAAGTCCAGAAACACAGTAATAGCAGTCACCTAAGATCTTAATTCTCATACATTCATTTTCCTGGAGGAAAAAAAAGCAGTGAGACAGTCACTTTCAATTTGAAATACATAAATGAAGGGTTACTGTTACAAAGACTGACTTAAATGACATTACAAAGTCATTCTACTAAAGCTAGTTTCAGTAGAGAATGGCTTGCTACAACAAAAATGCTGAGAGTTTTGTATGGGTGATCACTCTACCAGTTATGGTCCTTAATGGGCAAAAGCAGGAAGTAATTTCACTGCAAAACATGTTCACACCTAAGAATAAAGAGCTGAGTTAAACTATCATGTCCTCAATCTAAATAAAGCCTTTTTGTTTGAAATATAATCAAAAGACATAGTCTTCCACATTTACATCTTTGAAGATGTACTATGGAATACTTCCAGAAGCTAGCAATCATAACAGTATTTCTATATTTTATACTCTAAGGCCATATAAAGATTTTTATTTTTTAAAAACTGAAATTTAATTTTAATTGAATTTAATTTTTAAAATACTGGACAATAGTTTTTCAACAAATAAAAACACAGGAAATTTTTATCTATTCTGAGGTTTCTGATTTTACCTCCACATACGAAGTTTGATTTCATTTTTATAAAAGTGACACCTAAATAAGCAGAAAAAAAATTCTGATTGTATTTGATTCTTTTCTTGAGTAATAAAGAGGCTGTGGTCAGTAATTAAAATTGATTTGATCAATATTGTCTCTCTTCTCCTTCAGTCTCATAAATGCTTCTTCTGAGACCAGAAAACTGACTAACACTTTCCTATATTGAGTTTCTTCATCCTTGTTATTGCAAAAAATCTATTTAAAGAACTGTACATCTGCTATTAACATTTATTGGGCACCATGAGTTGTCTCTGTTGCTCCTATTAGAGAGTTATCTTGGGTTTCAGAGACTGTGTCTCTGGCAGAAATGCACTGTTGCACTCAAACCAGAGCCAAATAATTTTCTTCACAGGTTTCAAATCCAGTCCTCCTGCCAAAGTTGCAGAAATGCTGCAGAAAGACTCTAAGAGGAAAAAAAAACATTTTAAAGAGTACTTTCTTACTCAAACAAACAGCAGCAGCCCATAGCAACCCACCTTTGCAATTTGATCAAACTTGCCAAACAGCTCATTTAACATGTGCACCAGCTCCCCTGGTGAGCAGTCACTGGCCAGGCGAGTGAATCCTACGATATCAGCGTACAAGATACTGCAACAGAAATGAACAGAATCTTGCTCACAGCTTCCTTCTGCAAGACTCAGATCCATCAACCAACAGCAAAACCTGAAAGCAAGCGCCCTGGACTTCACAGGGATATGCCCGCACCCAAAACAGCCACTACTAAAAGTAGAGCAATAAATATAATTACATTTATAGGTAAACTTATATTTACCTTTATGGGTGTTATATTTATAGGTAATATATACCTATATTTATTCTTACAGGTATTACCTTCTCAGGTATACAGTATTGAAAAAATAGGAATATTTTCCCAAGTAACAAATTAGCAATATAACAGCAATATGATAGTTTCAAAGAGTATTTGTACTCACAAGAGAATATGAGCTTCCTCAAAAGCTTCCTACTGTTGTAGGATTTTTAATAAATCATTTTTTAATATCATTCAAACTAACTTCTCCAATTTTAAAAAAAAACACAAAAAACCAAACCAAACCAAACAAACAAAAACCCCAACAACAACAACAAAAAAAACCAGGGAAAAAATCTTGCAAAGAAGAAAGAATGTTTGAAATGAAAGTGATTTACTTTTCCAGCTACTAGAAATTTTTAATTATTAAATAATTAGCTCTATCAGCAGAATATTTTATCTCAGATACTGTGTAAAATATGTATGTGGTACAGTAACCTCTGTTTACATGATACAAATCCTGAGAAATTGTTCCAATTAAGAAAATTGCAAAATTAATATCTTGCCACTGACACAAATTACAATTTTGACTAGTATACATGGAATCAGAATTTGGTATTTCAGCCTGAAAAATGAAGACATTATGAAAAAAAGCCTATTATTGTGTGCCTTTTTCTCAACAATTCTATTGTATTAATACCTTTGTGGCTCTTCTGGAGTGCAGCATTGTCAACTTTTGATCAAATTAAGGGATTCTACATATTAAATTGCTGAAAAACATATTTTAAAAAAATATTTTCTTAATTCCTCCCTAGACCCTTTATTTCAATTTTTTTTTTCTGAATGTTGTTGATACATTTTATTACAGTACAATACCTTACATTAGTGTGCCTTTTGACATACAAATTGTGGAAGTTGTTGGTGTTTTCCAGCTGGCCTGCCTTTGGACCTTGTAACCTCTGAATGATCTCTGCTTTCATTTCCATGGCAATGTGAGCAGGCAGTAAAGAAAGTAGAAGACGCTCCTAAAATTTAAAATGAAATGTCCACAGTTTCTTCAAGGAGAATAAAGTTAGCATGGCATCAATACTGTGCAAGGCACACCCTATTGTCAATACTACGGAATATTTTGATGAGGCTTGCACTCAGGCCTGGTAGGAGCTCCAAAGTTAATCAGTTCCTTGAAGAGTATGACAGAGATATACACACATTTCTAGGTAATACCTGCCTTCTTCAAGGTTTACTGTATATTAGAAAAAGTTTAAGCTAAGCTTAACATTTGCTGAAGTTATCTACAGGAATCTATTCAATATCTGAGTAGGATGAAGCAAATGAAACAAGAGTCACAAGGCCAGTCCAGAGGACTTTCAGGGAAATGCAGTCTGATTCAAGCAGGAATAAGATACATATTTTTATTTTTCTTTCATGTATTTTAAATGCTTTGCCATAATTTTAGCAGTTAGACTGAAAATAAAATACCAACTGAAATACTGAAAATGTTGAACTTTTGCAGAGCATTTTGATAGGTACTCTGTCCTTCAATATGGCATTTGACAATTTTATATATTTTTAATTAACCTAAAAGCATATTGAATATTAAAAAACCCTAAACCCTACGTATTTTTCCTCATAATTTGGTATTAGAGTCTTCTTCATTTGATATGATGGTCTTCGTCTTTTAAAGCTCTCTGACACTTTCATTTTCTCCATTTTACCTGTGATAGCTTTAGAATGATTTCCTACTTCTCTGGAAAACAGATCAACAAGAACTCTGCAAGAAACATAATAAAATCCTTATTGCTTTATCATATTCCATCTTGAAACTGAACAAGAGTTTCCCATTTTCTCATAGCCAGACAGGAGAGACTCCTTCTGGCTAAGAATAAAAACCAATAGCCTGAACCAGTGAAGAGGGGGAAGGCATCTGAAAAAGCCTCTGGCAGAGCCAGAGAGAGAAACAGCTACTCCAGGAAAGATGATGACCTCAAAATGTGCATGATCCTCAGGTGTTCCTCAGAAGGATGCACTCTCTTTGGTTCACAAGCGTATCTTTGCAGAATTTGCAGTTCTGTTCAAGAAGGTACCAGAAGAGGTGTAGCCATTAATCCAATCCTCTGCCTGCGATAATTATTCCTGTTCAGGTCTGATGACCTTGAGTAAAGCATGGCAATAGCAGAGCTGTAGACTCATCTAATATTTGCAGCAACCTTGGCTATCTATCTCTGTCAAGTATAAAAAAATTCACATTCCTCATAGCATTTGTGCACTTGTAAGCAGAGCATTCAATTATATGCAGCCCCGTGAAACTGATCCTGCAAATATTTGGCAAAAAACTTTTATTTCAGTCAAAGCATCTTGATTTGCCGCTAATTAATATTGAACTAATAAATTTATTAAGTGCAAGATTAATTTAGTATGTTTAGGCATTTTAGCAAGTTCACATCCAAGAGACCAGTCTATTTTTCATTGCTTATGTTCATTGGCAATATTTCCCTTCCACTGCTCTTTGGTGGAAGTATTTTGCTAACTTGTAAATGTCTGTACAACAAATCAGTTTTTTTTCCCAAATGAAAACTTACTCTTCCAGGTTGCTCTTTATCTAACAGTACAGGATTTTTCAGACGTGTTAACAACTATAATTACATGGTTAATGAAGGTTACAGTGAGGCAAGTGCTCTTAGCTGAAATTTTACATCACTATACTCCTTTTGTACAATGGATAGTAAATACAAGCTAATTCACTATCTTCCTATGACTGTTATGATTCCACACACACAGTGATGCAGACACTGAATGTCCAGGTTACTGCTTACAATTTTGAAACTCAGAAAGACTGGTAAAAGGCCAAAAAGCAACAAATGTTTTCAAGGAAGCAAGAAAAAAACCAAGAGAAAAAGTTTTCATAGGGAGCAGCATAAAGTATATGAGGAAGAGGAAAACAGAATTCCCTTATTTTGTAGGGGACATCAGGAGAGATGGAATATTTCCCCTTCATTTTCTCTTCAGCCCCAGCCCACTATTCCATTCTGCTTAGACATCCTGATGAAGCTGTTCACTTGCACCAGAGTTCCCTCCAAAGAATGCTTTCCTTCTTCCATTTCCACTGTCCAAAAAAGAAGGTTGGAACAGGAGGTTGCCTTAGAGAACTGCAATTGGTGAAGCACACTGTAGAACACTTTGCCATATCCAGCTGTACATACAGCTTTCAGCCACCCTCTCCATTCTGCAGGCTGCAAGCATTCACTCTTCAGTCCTGACGTTATCACTTGTGTGATAATGCAGATTGTTAATTTTCATTTCTTTCACTAAAAGACAGCTGTGACAGAAGGTAATTCTCAACTGCTTATGAACACTGTGGCTGGGCTGGTCAGCTAAAGATCCTAAGAAATGCAAAGCACATAAGAGCACCTTTTCCTTCCTGTTTTATCATCACTGTTGGCTCAAAAGACCATAGTGGAAGGATCAAAACTACTTACTGATTAGCTTATAGTGCACGACGTTTTGCACTGAAATACCTGCAGACTAGAACAATGCAAGGAACACCACAAATCAAGACTGCTGCCTATGCTGGCTTTATGTTTGGCAATACATTCCATTCTGTACTATTCTGTCAAAAAGATAGAAAACCCACTCATCAAAAACTAGTGGAACTGAGACACAGGACACTGATTCTTCCTTATTTGTAGTAGACAGAGAAGCCACTCTCAGAGCTACAGTCTGCAAGAAAAAAGCTGAAATAATTCTGAATGCAGGTCAAGAGGTGCCATTTAAAAATCTTCAGACTGAAAATAAGAATACCTGCTTCTGGTGAAAGAGAAACTGCTGTGCTAAGACAATAATGAAAATCTCCTCACATATGTCCTTCCCTAGAATATTAACAACATGACTGTAACAGCTTATACAGGGGATTTATGCACACAAGACTATTTCCTGATTGCTCACGTTCCCTGGGACTATGCTTTCCTCTCAAGCATTCAAGTAATTTCCAGCTAATACCTTTTAAGTCCTAAGGCTAAAAGATGGAGTCCACTCTCTATACTGAATACAACATTAAATTGCCTTTCAATACTAGAGGGTTAAGTACTTCTCTCTTCTCCACCTAGACCCCACTAGGTTAGCAAGTAAGCCTCCTCCCTGGGTTCTTCAGCTGAAGATTTTCTGTGGTACATGTTGAACTGTTATTGGAGGTCCTATTCTCTCAATCTCTCACATCCAAGCTGATCTCTGTCAGAATTTTCCCTGAATCATACACATAACTTTAGCAGTGATGCTCAGTTACACATTACTCCTCCAAAGCTTGATAAGCTCTGGTTGCTTTCTTAGCTAGAATAAGTTGGCATAGTTCAGTTAAAGAACATAGCACTGTGTTGTTTTCTGCAAGGTGGCTGCTGTGCTTGAGTATCTCGCAAAATATTATGCTGCTGTTCTGCAGCAAACAAGCAAAATATCCTGAAATACTAGGTATGGGTTATTTTTAAGAGTACATGTTTCACAAATTAACCTCTTCTTGGCCTGAGGCAATAATGCTTCATTTATTTGGTCATTCCTGTTTTGTTATGCAAACTACCAATACTGATTCACTCATTCACCACTATCAACTCTTTACTGAGAATAAGTGTAAGAATTTATAGATTTAAAGGCAAAATATTTTTCCATCTAGTCTGATCTCTTGACTAATACCGGTTACAGAACGTCATTAAAGGGAAACAAATGTTGTCTGATAGGACTCACTGTATTAAAATCAACTTTGTGCCTTGCTGTCAATGGAAAGTGTCTTGGTTTTGGAAGACAGGAGTCTGCTAGGGAGTGCAGGAGCTTCCCCTGGAATGAAAATGTAGACCCCCTCCCTCTGAATTATAATAATTCTGAAATCAAGGGCTCTGAGGCAGAGATCTGGGGATAGGAATAACAGTTCTTTACTAGTATGTATAACAAGGCAAACAAACAACAACTACAGTGTTAGCAAGAAAACAAAACCAGGGACCCCGTGACAGCCTTCTTGGCCGAGACAGGAGAGGATGGAGAGGCTTTGCTCCACAAACACCCTCAGTGGGCAGTCCCGGTGCTCCTGCAGGGCTCTGAGGAACACTCAGCTGGAACAGCAGGGATGAGCTGAGATCCTGGGCCTGTGGCTGAGGTGTATCAGCAGCTCCACGGCGGTGCCTGGCACTGCCACACGTCCCAGCAGGACAGGGCGTGTGAGGCCACCAATGAAGAGGGAAGAAGGAGAAGAAGCAGCAGCAGGTTGATGGTGAAATTCCCTTCTCCCCACCGCAACAGCTCTGCGCCCCCAAAGAGCTTTTCTCTGAAGCTGAAGAAGCCGCCAAACTGTCCCTGTCCTCCCCTTTTCCTTCCCCCTTCCCGCCCTGGGCCCAGACGAACTCTGTGTTTTCTCAAGCACCCACCAAGTACCTGCAGTTAGGTTTTCCCTGCAACTAATGGGTAAAAATTCCAGTGGTGAGCCAGAGCTAAAAGGAGGACACCTAACCCCCAACAGAGAGAAACTGTACTTCAAGGCAATTCACAGAATCTAATACTGAAATTCTAAGGTAGCAATGCTCTCTCTCTCTCTCTGTTGTCTAGGGAGGGAACTGAAGGTCCAGATTTTGGTCTTACTGGATGAAATGTCCCTCTCTGTTGTTAAGCTTTTTCTGATATTCAAGAAGCCTGCAGAAAAACTATATATTTGTAGATCAGTAAAGGACTATAGGAATATTTTTGTCCCTATAATCCCATATAGGGTTGTTTTTGTCCCTTTCAATGTCATTTAGGGCACTGAATATTGAATTCTGTTTTTCTGTGGGTTGGATCTTGTTTTCAGATTCCTGTGGCATATATCTAATCATCTATTTAGTGAGTTTGACAAACCAGGTCAGTAAGTCAGCAGCAAGAGCTCAAGACACAATTAGCCTATGCATGCATCCTGCTTCACTACAAAATTTAGAAATAGACACAAATAACATCAAAGTTTCAGCTGCCCTCTAAGTGTATACAGAAATAACCTACAGGAAATGAATTTTCTGAT